CTCGGTAAACCAAGGAGATGGTCGAGATCCACGTCGGGTCAGAGGCCGCAAAGGCACGACTCGGTCCAATGCTGCGGCGGCAGTTGTCTCCCAGGCCGCCGCCTGATTTTCCGCCGAGTCGTGGACTAGATCCTCCGGATATGGCCCAAGCTCCATCAGGAACCTCTCAGGGTCCATCAGTCGCCTGGGACGGAACCACCTTGCTTAGTGACGGAAATTCTGGTCCCAGTTGTAAGTCGAGGACCACCTGTATAGCAAAGGCAGCATGCAGTTTGGCCCTGGGTGCGGGATTGGCTAAGTTCTTGTCCCAGGTCCTCCACTTGGGCAGAATAAGGAAGGGACAGGAAACAAATATTATTGCCAGGCAGATCTACTCCACATTGTGCACATAATATTGATGCCACCTGTTTTGCTATTCACTTTAATTTCTATTTTTTCTAGTCAGTCTTCATGATTCTATTTGTCTCATTTTTCCCCATGGTTTTGCTGTTATCCTTAATTTTCCCACATGATGCCAAACATGTAAGAGTAAAGCCAGTTTTCAGGGACAAATGAAATAACTACAAATCTGTATATCTATAAATAATCTTTTTCTTTCTTTCTTTCTTTCTTTCTTTCTTTCTTTCTTTCTTTCTTTCTTTCTTTCTTTCTTTCTTTCTTTCTTTCTTTCACTGCTTCTGTCTTCTTTACAAATTGGCTTATGAGGTGCATTGCTGTTCATCAATGGAGTTAATAGCCAGATATGGTTACAGGCAATTCCTGACCACAGGGCAGTTTCTTTTTCTTTCTTTAGAATAGTCCTTTTACAGGAGTGTGCCCTTTTGCCCCAAACTACAGTCTATCAGACTTATTAAATTTTCTAATCAGGAGCCAAACAAGAGTCTCTCACAGCTGTAGCTACCATTCTTAAAACTTTCTTTCAGTACAAGTCTTTCTTTCTGTTTTTATCTTAGCAGGGACAAAAGTACAAAGCATTCAGGAGCTTTCATAGTCTCTTTGTCTCTAGGTATACACTTTTGTACATGTAGGTACAAGATGGAACATCAGGCAGGTGTAATTGTGCCACTATCTCTCTCCATACAAAGGAGTAGCTATGATAGCTCTATTTTTTTTTTATACAAACTTAATTCAAAGGCTCTGAATGAACAAAAAGCTAGGGCAGCAGTGTTATCAATTGAACTAGAATATGGTTTCCACATGCCTCTGAGACACAAAATCAGAG